TCAAACAACCTTTAAGGTTCGAAGGCGTTACGTGTACTACTGGCGCCTATATCTGGGATTGGTGCAACAAATAATAGCGCTGAGGCACCGTGCACAGCGAATTGACGCAGAGCTATAGCGACGCGGCGCCATCATGACTCGGTTGATGTCATCATTGGGCCTGTGGGACACATGCTAGCGGTACGCTTCAGCACCTTTGTGGTGCATTGTAAGAACTGTGCATATTTTATTCATTGGTGGGTGACAACCGGGTGTTAGTTTGGATCCACCGCAAAAGCCTTTCGGAAAACCTTCTGAGTCGGTACTTTGACTCTTACAATGTGCTATTTGGCGAATGTGCGACGTCCATTAAGAAGTTCTTCCCGACGGATGCTGAAAACCACAACTCAAACAGCCGCGGCTCGAGATCTTGAACGTGGTGCGATTAGAACCATACACGTTTTTAACACTCGTTTTGCGACTACTTTTCTTAATGTTTCATGTGATGTAAATACTTCTATTAGCAATGAGTCGATGAGCTTTCTAGCGTAGGTGTTCATTATACGCACTTAATGCACCTGATAGAAAGAAAAAGTCGCACGTTGGTTTTGTCTGCACTGCGCTGACCTTTTTTCGAGCTCGAGCCTCGCCGCCTTCATTGAGTAAAGGTCGAATTCCTTTTAAAAGTGAAGATAGTGTACTCAAAGAAACTTCGTTAAGGAGTACATAACAAACAAATGGTGTGACTGGCAAAGAAGTGAACGGCGAGTTTACCCTGTAGAGGCTTAGAGTAAAAGACGTCACTATATATGTCTTTGACGAATGTGCAATAGGAATAATACTGACAGTAATAGTATTGTATACTGCGAAACGAACTCAGACCATATGCTTCTAGTTGACTTCAGAAGATATGGGAGAAGATATGGGAAGATATGGAACAGTGATTTCGTTGATGACATCTGTTGGTTGGGAGGCGGCCACGCCGCTCCAGCAGTAAACGTGACAGTCGGACCATGCCAACAGAAAAGAACCGCCAGTTTTATTCACACTCGTGAATATATATAGGAAAGTAAGGGGGAGAGGGAAGGGGGATAAGATTGTGCACATGCGCACTTGAGAGCTTGGGTCGCGTCGTTCAATGGGTTACAGCATTTCTTCCCCCTTAGTAGCCAAAACGCACGACCGGTTTCTTGGCTCGTGTGGAGCGACGTAGTACGTATGGTTGCGATTCAGGGGTACTCTGAGAGGTAGCCGGCGCCGTTGTTTCTAGTCGTACCGGCCCTGGGGAAACCGGTGTAGAAGGCCTCGACATGTCGTCGGCTGCTGGCGTTTCATCTGGGCTCCGCTTGCGAACTTGATCCACGTGGCGGCGGACAAGGCCATCCACAGTCTTTACCTCCAGGAGGCGAGTGCCACGCGTAGCCTCCACTGTGCCTGGGAACCACTTGTCTCCGGCGCCGTAATTTCGCACGTACACGTAGTCTCCCGGTGCGAAATTCCAGCCTGGGTCACTCGCAGCTTTGGCAGGATAGACTCTGGAAGGAAAAGACATCTCCATTCTTGTGCGCAGACGGTATCCTAATAGCCTCTCTGAGGGAGAAGGACCCTCCTGGTGTGGTGCGTTCCGATAATTGCACAATACACGTGCCAGTGAGGTGAGGAGGCAAGTGCCGCCTATCTTCTTCAAGCCATCTTTGATAGTGCGCACGGCTCGCTCTGCTAGTCCATTACTCTGGGGGTGATAGGGAGGTGTTCGAATATGCGCAATGCCATTGCGCTCCATGAACTGCTCGAACTCTCGTGCCGTGAATGGCGTCCCGTTGTCAGAAACCACCGTGCGCGGTATACCAAAACGGCTAAATATCGTTCTGAGGGCCTCGACTGTGCTATGCGAGTTGGCCTGCGACACGGGAAGCGCCTCAATCCACTTGGTGTGCGCGTCGACAACGATGAGTAACATTTTCCCTTTTACTGGTCCCGCATAGTCCACATGTAACCGCGACCACCTTTCGTGCGTCTCGGGCCAATTTACTGGTTCTTTTGCCTGAGCCATCGGCAACGCTTGCACACAGTTTTGGCATGTCGCCGCAACGCGCTCGATGTCTTGCTCTACGCCGGGCCACCAAAATAACGATCTGGCCTTCGCCTTCATGGTGGAAATTCCTTGGTGGGCTTCATGCAGTAGCCTTAGCAACTTCCCGCGTGCTGCTGTCGGCACTACAAAGCGATGGCCCCAGTAAAGAAGTTCTTCACTAACAGACAGCTCATGCCGCCTTTTGTAAAAATCGGCGATTTCTGTAGTTTCCGTGTCGAGTTTTTTCGGCCAACCTTCCCGGGTATACTTGCGTACCTGGAAAAGTACCTCATCCGCGACGGCGAGTGCCTGGAGTTCCTTCCATGGCAGGGCCGGCTGATCCCACTGGTCCAGGGTCAGAACTTGAGCTTCGTCCTCCTGGTCCACTTCTTCCTGCAACGGTTGGGGTAGACGGCTAAGAGCATCAGCATTGCACATGAGTTTACCCGGTCGATGTTGCAACCGATAACGGTAGGCACCAAGTATGATGGCCCAACGCTGAAAGCGCGCAGCGGCCATAGCCGGCGTCTGGCGATCCGCTCTTAGGAGACCCAACAGTGGTTGATGGTCGGTTAGAAGCGTGAACTGTCTGCCCAGCAGATAATCTCGGAATCGCGTGACGCCATAAACCAGAGCCAACGCCTCACGTTCAATCTGTGCATAATTCTTTTCTGCGGCAGTAAGCGTCCTGGATCGAAATCCAAGGGGCTGATACTGTCCTTCAATTCGGTGGAATAGTGCCGCTCCCACACCGTAGGGTGACGCGTCGCACTCCAGAAATAGCTCTCGTGCGGGATCGAAGTGAGTTAACACAGGCGCGGAACACAAAACGGCTTTTGCTTTTCGGAAGGCATCGTTTTCGCGCTCATCCCAAGACCATTTCGATTTCTTTTCCAGAAGAAGGTATAGGGGACTCAGGAGCGTGGACAGATTAGGCAAGAATTTATTGTAGAAAGTTAGCATGCCCAAAAAAGACCGCAATTCCGTGACATTGTGAAGAGTCGGTGCCAGCTTAATTGCTTCGATGTTCTTGTCTGACGGGTGCAACCCTGCCGCGTCAATTCTGTGTCCTAGATACGTAACTGACTCCTCACCTATTCGGCACTTGTCCGCGCGGAGCTTCACGCCGTACTCCCTGAACCGCTGCAAGACTGCTTGCAGGTTCGCAGTTGGCTTATCGTTCGCATCTGCTATCAGGACGTCGTCTAAGTACGCTTTAACCCCTGGGAGGCCTTGCAGCACCTGCTCAATTGTTCGTTGAAAAATCGCAGGGGCCGAGGCTATCCCAAACGGTAGCCTGTTATAACAAAAGAGGCCCTTGTGAGTGTTTATAACCGCTAACTTGCGCGAATCTTCGTCTAGAAGAATTTGGTTGTAGGCATCACGTAGATCCAAGATACTGAACTGCTGCCCTCCACGAAGCGTAGCGAAAATGTCGTCCACTACGGGTAGAGGATAACTTTCCATTTCACATACTGGGTTTAGAGTAACTTTGAAATCGCCACAGATGCGGACTGTTCCGTCACGTTTCAGCACTGGCACCACCGGGGTTGCCCATTCTGAATAGGAAACTGGCGTAATAATGCCTTCGGCCACGAGTCGATCTAGCTCGGCGGACACTTTGTCTAGCAAAGAAAATGGAATTTTTCTTGCCTTACAGAACCTTGGGGTTGCTCCGTCCTTTATATGAAGCCGTGCTGGTGGTTCCTTGATGGCTCCCAGGCCTTCCGCAAAAAGGTCTGCGTACTGTTCCAGCACGGGTGCCGCTGTCCGACTCTCCAGCTTCCCGTCCGATGAGAGTGACGCGATGTGAAGAAGCGGTGCCCCTTGTGTCTCGAGCATCTGTAACAGGTCACGGCCGCAAAGGGTAGGACCTTCGCAGTCTAACACAACGAGATCGCAGTCAACTGTTGCAGACTTGTAGGAAGCTTGCATTTTGACAATGCCCCGCACTGGTATCTTCCCAAGATAGCATGACAGAGTTAATGCAGCTTTACAAAGCGGTGGCCACTTATGACGATAGGCTTCGTATATCGCTTTAGGCACTACGCAGACAGGTGAACCTGTGTCGATTATCATATTCAGTGGCACTCCGTTCCATGTAACCTGCTTGTGTAGGGGCGGAACCAGGCTTCCATTACCCTTCACTGACCATATTTGTAGTGCGTTACAATCGTTATCTTCACTTTCCGCTGAACACTCTGTTATCGCGAAGGTTCTGTTGGTGGTGGCTGTCCGGGAGCATACTCGCGCCAAGTGACCTTGTCGCCCACATTTGTAGCACCTGCGCCGTCGTAATGAGCATTTTCTGGCTTGATGTCCCTGTTTGCCACAGCAGCTGCAGTGCTGCGATAAGCTGCTCCGTTCGCTCCTGCTGATTTCGGGTTGCCTGCTACGCTGCACGTTGAACACCCCAACGGCGTCACCTTGCCCGGTCATCTGTTGCGACCCTAACTCCGCGCTTTCGGCTGCTAGAGCTAGTGCTTCCGCTTCTGCCAGCGTCAAGTCCTTTTTGGCTAATAGTTGTTTCTGCAGGTTTTTCGAGCGCACTCCACAAACGATGCGGTCCCTCAGCATTCGCTCCAACATTGAAGAGAAGTTGCAGTTATGCGCTAGTCTGCGAATCTCGACGATAAACGCCTGCACGGACTCCCCTTCTTGTTGGTTTCGGTGAAAGAACTTGAAGCTTTCTGATATCTCGTTAGGGGACGGATCATAGTGCTCGTTCAAGGTTGAAACAACTTCTTCGTAACTCAGCGAGCTTGGTTTTCGCGGTGCGATTCTGCCGCAAAGGATTTCAACGGTCCTCGATCCTAACGCAGCCACCAACAAGGCCCTTTTCTTCGCGTCGTCCGTAACTTCGTTCGCTTCGAAGTAGGCGTCAATCTTAACGAGATACGCTTGCCACTTATCTGTCTCCTCTGCAAAATCCGGAAGCTTGAGGGCCATGGCTGCGGGCGGGCTGATGGGCGTCTTCGTCTTGGTCTCGCCGCTGGCGCCCGGCTTACACGTATCGGTGGGTATTCTCGTCGCCACTGTTGGTTGGGAGGCGGCCACGCCGCTCCAGCAGTAAACGTGACAGTCGGACCATGCCAACAGAAAAGAACCGCCAGTTTTATTCACACTCGTGCCCTTAATAACGGTACGTGAAGATATGGAATGCGCAGCTATTCAATCTCTTGATGTATGCAAAGATAGGTGATTCGCTCGCTGAGGAACAAAAAGAAGAGAAATAAAAATAACCGAGGAAGTAGCACAGACGTTTTTTGTACTTTTTATTATTATTACGCTGAAAAATAATTATGCAAATCCGAGAGAGCAATGAACCGAGACGGGAGCCTTCCGATACGCCAGATGCTACACTTCCGTAAGATGAAGCACCGCTGCGGGCGAAAACAGATTCAAACCATTTTTTAAAGGAGCAGTGACAGCCGCAAGAAAGGCGATCGATATCAGATTGAGCTGACTTCGTTTGATTAATGCCGATGAGGCACGCTGGGTTTACTTAGCTAAGCGATGTGGTTATGCACACCGCTAGAAGGTTTACTCACTTCGCATAATTGTCATGTCATTGCGTGAGTCAGAACATAAAGAATAGCTACTTTTTTAGACAGGTCTGCTAATGAGTGGGACGAAAAAGGAAGTCTTTTGAATGCGCTTGTTGCTGCTGACAGGGGCGCGGGTATTTTAAATTCACTCTTTCATCTTGCACAGCTCGTAGCCGGCTGGTTTGCGCTTATGAGATACTTGACGTTGCTTCCGGGTTTTAACGTCGCATCCAGACAGTGCAGTGGTTGCCGACTTGAATCATCAGTGAAAGTAACTCAAGACTTGAGAGATACCCAGCTGCAGTTCATACTGGTAGGCTAGCAGCGTAAAAAAAAATCAATTTCACGCCTCTCACAGCTTCCCCATCAGATGTATATACCGTATAGTTGCATGTGAGAATATGAGCAATCAAAATTTTAATAGTCCTCTGCCGCAAATGGACGGGACCATCAGAAGCGATGTAAAAACAGACATTACAACAAAGTTTATCACGTTTTTTATGGACTCCTCCGAAGTACGAGCGCGGAAAAGGGATGTCCAGCGGAATTTGCTGCCGCTTGTATGGCGTACCAAAAATTATGCAGGCCATTTCAGAGTCTAAACCACATGTTTCAAGTTAGTTACTGCCTTGCTCGCATGCGGCAAGAAAGCATGGTTTTTCCAAATTTATAGAAAATAAAATCCTCTGCAAGCCCGTGTGGGGTGTTCTTTCTTTACTTTTCTTGAGGCTTTAATCTGAAAAAGGGGTTTGCTCTTGGTTTTTATTTTCTGTCAATTGCAGCTTCGATGCAGCCAATCTGGTGAGTAGCTGATGCCAGAAATGAATGGGATGATCACTCCTTGGAAAAAAAAAGGCAATAAATATTCTTTATAAATATTGAATATAAAAAGACGTGTTAATAAAGAAATGAGAGTTACGGCATTAGCAAAAAAAAGCATAATATTGTGCAGAATAGGCTATGTGCCGATAGCCATGATATAAAAAAAAACACGTTGTTCAAACGGAATGCATGGCACTTCAAACGTAACAAGAAATTTTGTGAATTTGACATCTTGTCTAGTGGCTAAGGTACTCAGCTGCTGACCCGCAGGTCGCGGGATCGAATCTCAGCTGCGGCGGCTGCGTTTTCGACAGAGGCGGAAATGTTGTAGGCCCGTGTGCTCAGATTTGGGTGCACGTTTTTTTGGGTGCACGCAATTGAGAACCCCAGGTGCTCTAAATTTCCGAAGCCCTCCACTACGGCGTCTCTCATAACCCTATGGTGGTTTTGGGACGCTAAACCCCACATATCAATCAATCAATCATTCATTATGGCTGACGCAACGCCTCCTTGATTTCTTTCAATGCCAGTACAAAGGCGCGCTTATCAGCGGGAGCCGTCGATTCGCCTTCGTTCAGGGAATCGTCGTGATGCGACGCTGCATGATGGGTCGCGCTGTATGCGTCACACGTGCTTCCAAGCGCTTTACTCCGGAGATGCGATAAACGTGTTTCCCACTCCAATATCACACGTCTGTCAGATTTGTTCCTTTGTGCTCCTTTTCTGTTGCTCGAAGCAGCGCCGCCACCACATCACAGCGAACTGCATGTAGTAGCATTGCAGTGACGCTTCCCCATTGGTTGTCCACATAGCGCCACGAACGGCAACACGTTATCTAAAAACACCGCATGTTTCGCAGAGCCAGCGTGACCACAAGCATAGTGAACAAGAGGAATGCAAGACGCTTCCCCACGGATCTGTACACAACTGAACAAACAATTGCTTCGCATGATTTCCGTCGTGAGGCACTGCATGAGGGGGCTCCTTTCCCCATGACAGCAAAGCACACGCGAAGGCTATAGGTGATGGGTGAGAGCAGGAAAGAGCTATATAGAGGAGGGGGTCGTGAACGGCTGGATTTGGCGCATCTGGCTGACACTGATAGAATAGAGGAGGCCTTGGCTGACGCCTCACCAGTCATGTCACGTGTGACAAAAGGGCTTTCAAGGGAAGAGGCATGTTTCCTTCATCACATCCGAACGGGGTCAGAGCGTACACGAGCATGGCTCTACAGGATTAGACTCCTTGTAGCGTGATTGTGTCCGACTTGCAAGGAGTTTGGTTACATAGAACACTATTTATTTAGGTGGCGTAAGTTTAAGATAGAACGGAAATGTTTATTCAAAGAACGACAACGTTAAGCCTCGCCACGTGACAGTGTAACTGATATTGTGTTTCCGCGTGGCCACTGTATCTTCACGAAGCAGTTGTCGGGACTTGTCTTGAAATTTTCGACTGCTACAGGCCTCGCATGTCACTGCTGATGAGTGACGATTACGTTGGGGTGTGGTGCAGTGAGACAGGGGTCCGGTACAATACTGCATGCGGAATAGCACACAGGCCGCCGGCTAGAGTTACGTGGCGCCAGGCGAGAATTTCTAAGAGTACGCCCGTGCTTAGTTAAACACAAAATAAAGGATATTATTTCAATACAATGAGCAAAGATGAAACCGGGTAAGTCAATTGCCTGGGATTTTCGCAAGGCTGGATCCACCGGCTACCTTCAACACCCACATTCTAACTTACAGACGATTCTCACGTACGTGTATACAGAGTTGACTCCTCGCAACTGATCCCTCCAACTTCAATTTCACTCCACGTTCACGATAGAGCAAATAGATCTAATAGAGGGGTACATTGATTGATATGTGGGGTTTAACGTCCCAAAACCACTATATGATTATGAGAGACGCCGTAGTGGAGGGCTCCGGAAATTTAGACCACCTGGGGTTCTTTACCGTGCACCCAAATCTGAGCACACGGGCCTACAACATTTCCGCCTCCATCGGAAATGCAGCCGCCGCAGCCGGGATTCAAACCCGCGCCCTGAATAGAGGGGTAGATATATGCCTGACAGGGCATCGAAAATGTGGCGAGCCTAACTCCTTCGAACTGAAGAATCGCGATAGCTTTATATATATATATATATATATATATATATATATATATATATATATATATATATATATATATATATATATATATATATATATATATATATATTACATCGTATTGCCTAATTGACAGCCCCTTTCATTTTCATATCATTCCGCCCTTCGCCCTCGACTGCAATGACGCCAAGCCTATATAGCCGGAGATTGCTGTGGCAGCAGATAAATTCCGTCGAAAAGAAACGCACATTTAGATAACAGGGTTTCACAAGAAGTTATTCTCTTCACGGGCAAGCTTCAATATGGAGGCATCACTGCCTTACGTCACGACTGGGCGGAAGCACCGATAAGTAGAGCTGAGCTCAGCTAGTTGTTATACGAAGCTTATCTTACTTGTCATGTGTGATTGGCATTGTCCACCATGACGGCGAATGCTTGCGACATGCACTGACCGGCGTGATGCAGGTACTGGTTTCGTAACGCGTATATGAGTACGTTCTCTTTATAATAATGGGTGAGGTTTAACGTCCCAAAACCACGATATACGGGGAACGCCGTAGTGCAGGGCTCGGATTGAGAACTTTCTCCCACCTACTTCCAATTTTTTGTTGTTAAATGAATATTTTAATTCAGACACGCTATTTAGTAGGATTTTTTTTTCGCAGGTCGGAAATAAATGAACCTGTAATTACCCAGCGGCCCCGACAAAAGTGTGTCGATGGAGAACTCGTCAGTGCCATTCCGCTCTTCCATACGACACGTATGATGCACGCACAGGCAGCTCTAAATGTTCGCGCTCGAAAGTGCGGCGTCGCGCAAAACTTGCCAATCGAGGGGTATACAGTCACATGTGATAACAAAAAAAGAGGAAGCAAGAAAAATAAATTATAAGTGAGCTGGAACAGGAAACGCTTTGCGACGCGCCACGCGTACATGCCCGATTTGCGGTCCCCATGGCGTTTCGCGGCGAGGGAAAGATGCGCGTCCCATTATATAATCAATGGCCGCGCCCGCTACGCCTATATACTGCGGGGAGAAAGACACGCCGGTCCGCTTCCGGAATTTGATGTCCGCTTGGTGCGGCTGAACGAGTTCGCGATCAAAGGGAAGTGCGACGCGCCGCCCTCGTGCTTCAGAATGTTCTGCTGCGCGTGCTCAGTGCCACGCAACCCCACGCGGCATCGTCGCCCACTCTCGCAAAGGCGCTCTGATCAATGCACGAGCGAGCGCGCGCGCGGAGCGCACTGATATTCCTCTCATTTTCCTTCATTTATGCTCCATTCGAAAAACACGGCCTTCTTCCCATTTCAACGCGGACCGGATTCGGAAATTAACGTCCGACGGGGCGAAATTGAAATCGAAGCGGCTCCCTGGCGCGCACTCACGCGCCGCACACCTTTCAGCCGACGAGCGCCGTCCTCACGGACTTCATGCACCCGAGAACCTCATCGAGGTCTTGAAAAGCGAAAAGAATAGGCGTGGCCACGAAAATTAAAATAAAGCGTAGAGTGAATGAAGGAGAGAGTACAGCGCCGTCGCTTCGAATTTGGCAGCGTGCGTTTATAAACAAAGCTTTTTATTTGCTTTCACTCGGAACTCAGAACAGAGCGTCCATGGAGCGCGCGCCGGCCGGGACGCTTGAATTTCGGACTATCCTAATACGCGGGCACGCCATGTGATGTCACCATCATGGAAGGCTAATTGTTTTTCCTGTCTGACTATACAAGGGATTTGCGAGAAAGCGGAGCTCCCGTCGCCAGCTTTAAGACTGCACGACGAATGTGAACACCATGATAAGCTGTACACACGGACGGCTCGTCAACTGTTGGAGGACCTATAGAAGCTGTTACCTTTTCATGGAAAGCTAAACGTACAATTTTAGAAGGTGTCATTGGGCTGCGTTGATTGCTGTGGAGCTTGCGGCACTCCGCAATGCACTACAAATGATTTCATCAAGCATCATTTGGTAGCGCACAAACAAACAAGACACGAAGGAAGAAGGCGGAACAAGCGCTGGTGTAACAACAGAAATATTTTGTTGAAAAAAAGTTTCTAGTATACATTAAAAACACAAATTATTATAAAATAAACACACACAAATTCACGACTGTTCAATGAAAACGGTCTCGTGGGCTGATAGTGACACCGACAACTTTTTGAGAGGTGACGTATTCCAGCCATTGTCGCGAATGTGAGTTCATGCCTTCGTTTCCAGAAACGTCGTACATCCCACACCGTCATGATCAACGCACACGTGAGATAGCAGATGTACGCCTCGTGGCAAAGTGTGATAGCAATTGCATAAGTCAGCCGTCAATGTCGGGAACAAAAACGAATTTCTATCACTCATGAGGTTTTGTGTGTACATTTATATATATATATATATATATATATATATATATATATATATATATATATATATATATATATATATATATATATATATATATATATATATATCCTGACTGATCCTGCCCACGGCAAGTTACCTTTTCACCAACTTTTCTTTCTTCTCATTTACATTACAATTGGCCTAATAACTTCCCCTATACCTTCCTTGGCATTACTGTCTGTTAGATCTCATGAATATTGTGTAAAAATACGAAAAACGAGCCCTTAAATATACACTTGTTTCGCATATATGTATATATATATATATATATATATATTTATATATATATCTATTATCTAGTGAGGCAAGCCTAGCTGTACTAAGAAGGTAAAGGGTATTAAATAGGATGTAATAGGACTCAGTGAGGTGGTAAAGAGGACGGATGAGCCCTATAGTGCTACATCATGGGCACGTCCTTTGCTATCGTGGCTTGGCTGACAGAAGAGAACTGGGCGTGGGGTTCTTTATCCCCAGAA